TATAGGAACTGGAAACACAGGGGATCCAGGACAGATGATCCCTTCAGGACCAGTGGTGAGAGAGGCAATACCAGAGCGGGGAGGGAAGGTTGGGTAGAAAGGGGAAGCCAATTATAAGGATCTACATATGACCTCCTCCCTGGAGGATGGACAACAGAAAAGTGGGTGAAGGGAGACGTCGGACAATGTAAGACATGAAAAAATAATAATAATTTATAAATTATCAAGGGTTCATGAGGGAGGGGGAGAGGGGGAAATGAGGAGCTGATACCAAGGGCTTAAGTGGAGAGCAAATGTTTTGAGAATGATGAGGGCAACAAATATAAAAATATGCTTGACACATGGATATATGTATGGATTGTGATGAGTTGTATGAGCCCCCAATAAAATGATTAAAAAAAAACTGTCTGCAAATACTTCATTAAGTCACTCAACAAACATATTTTAAGCACCTACTATGTGTTAGGCAAGAAGCCCTGGTGGTATAGCGGGTCAAGTGTTGGGCTGCTAGACAAAAGGTCCACGGTTCAAATCCACCCACACTCAGCAAGAAAAAGACGAAGCTGTCTCCTCCTGTAAAGATGTACAATCTCCACAACCCTGTATCACAGTTCTACTCTATCCAGAAAAGGTCACTACAATTCAGAATTGACCTGATGGCAATGGGTTTATGTGTTAGGCACTGTGCTGTTCAGTAATCACAATTGTTATTTATATTGATTTGTATGATATTGGCTTACTATGTCTTCCTCATTAGAATGTAGGTTATTGAAAGAAGAGGCCATTTCAACTTACTCAACCCTGAATCCTCAATGCCTAGCTCAGTTCTGGTAGCACAACTTAAATGTATATTTATAAATACTTGTGTGTGTGTGTGTGTGTGTGTGTGCATGCGCACACACAGAAAAAGTGGAATCGAAATGGGGATGAAATTGTGAAAATAATTAAGTATTTTACAGTACAATGGGATATGATCAAATGTCTTACAGGCGTATTCAAGTTAAAAAAATAGACTCCATAAGATACTGATTATAATAAGAAAAGGACCCTCAGAAAACGTCACGGATTAAAATTTTAACATCTTATCCCACAGTCTTTACCAACTCTCTTTCTTGTCAATTAAGTCAACAAAGGATGACAACAGACTCTCATCTTGACTCTGCTTACAAAACTAAGTTAAATATACATTCTGTCACCCAAAAGCTTAATGACATGTGTTTCCATTTTGGAGTATGCACTTTAATTCAAGCATTTTACTAATGTTGTATCTCAGGTAATCCTCACAACTTCTGTGAAACAGTCAACACCGTTAAACTCATTTTACAGATGGAAGTGTAATGACCTTTATCAAGGTCTTAGAGGTAGTACATTATTCAACATCTAGAGTAGCATTCCACCACTTCTCTGTCACTTTGTCTTACTGTGATGGTTTGTGAGTTGCTGTGATGCTGGAAGGTATGTCACTGGCATTTCAAATGTCCGCAGGGTCACCTAAAGTGAACGGGTTTTAGTGGAGTTTTCAGACTAAGAACAGACAACAAAGATGGAATCAACTGCCCCCTTCAGAGGATGTAGCTGCTGAAACCTTAGGCATCACTTTGAAACATTGTCAGATACCATGGTAGTTACATAATTTCATGAAAACTTGATATATGAAAGTGTAAGGGAGGATCTAACCTATCAATCAGATCACAGTCTGATGGTGACTCCTTGTGGGTGTGGCCTTCTCATAAGGAGGGTTCTGGGAATCTCCTCTCTCTCTCTCTCTCTCTCTCTCTCTCTCTCTCTCTCTCTCTCTCTCTCTTTCTCTCTCTCTCCCTTCACCTTCCTGCTGACAGACCCTGATTACTGCGAGCCCTGTGATGTGGCCAATGCCAACACAACTTTTCACCCATCGGCCTGTAATCTTCCTGCATTCTTTATCATTGCTTGTGGCTGCATGAGTCTAAAGAGGGACTTAAAAACTAGTATCAGATATATGGACTTGATCTGGACTGGGCTGGATGTTTTCCTGATTGTCAGGGGAGTCACTTCCTAACAAATCATCACAGGTCCAGTAGGTGCAATTGTACAGCAACAATAAGTAAAGATTATAGTAAAGTCATAGAGAATAAAAGAGATAGAAGAGAGATTGAAATAATGAAGTCAGACACATTTCATAGTAGCAAGCTAACCTCAGCTCCTCTTGGTGGTACAGGGCAGGAAAGAGGGGGAGGGGAAAAAAGGAAAATGAACTGATTCCGGGAACCCAAGAGGAAAGCGAATTTTGGGAATGATGAGGGCAACAAATGTATAGGTGTGCTTTACACAATTGATCTATGTATTGTGATGAATTGTATGAGCCTCAATAAAATGATTAAAAATAAAAGACAAGTTCAAGTCCTA